CTGCTGGGATAACTCACCTGCTGGGATAACTCACCTGCTGGGATAACTCACCTGCTGGGGTAACTCACCTGCACCTGTTTGCAGTTTTTCGTGCTCTGATTCACCATTAGTCTCACAGTGGCTGCCTTCCTGAATATAATCAGGGAATTAATGAAGCTTTTCCAGGTATTATGATTGATATTCAACTTATCTGTATTATAGTTTCTTATTTTGTTTGTCGGACTTTGAGATGCACTTAAAGTGGAATAAAATGATACGCTTATGATTAGTATCACCCCCAACTCATCCAACTGTCTTTTACCACCACTCAAACATAGCTTTTAGCAGACCACCTTTCCTCATTCCAATAGAGCGGTAGTCTATCTTTGCCTGCATGCTCACCGTTAGCATCCATGATTAGCTTTTTGCTCACGGCATTTAGCACCTGGAATTAAGCCCTTATTTGGAATCTCTGAAGATCAGTATGCCGGCCATCAATCATCCCCTAATCTGGGATTGGGAATATTTGGGTAAACGCATAGATAGGTAATCCAGAGATCTCTTGCCCCAGAGACACTTTTAAAGATCATTCTGCTGAATCCAAAGTATTTCCAGAACCAAAGTGGAAAGAAAAAATCTTTTCAGCAAGTTCTGGTTGTGCTTTTAGACGTCATTGTTTTTCATTGAGCGCCCAATCTTTATAGATCAACAGCTGCACATCAATTAAGTTTATTTGATTTTTTTGCACATATAAGTTTGTGCAACTCATTTGGAATCGGATCAAGCCTCATGATATAAAAGTTCAGGCAAAGAATTACCTTAAATCCAGAGCGAATAAGTAATTTTTCTGTCTCCTCAAACTTGACCTAATTTACACCTGCAGCTCTGCTCCTACTGGCTAATCTGGCATTTCTCCCACCTACTGGTCTGGACCATACAGTACATCATTATAATTATAGGTTATATGGATGTAATAAACAGAGGTTGGAAAATAACATGAGACAAACATTTGGAAAAATATATTTTTTTCAGTAATATCATGCATTTGGAAAATGTTTCATTGTTTTATCACTATAAATGAAACAAACATGTTGGTTTTCTAAGGCATACATGAAAAACAGTGATAGTGAAAATGATTGATCAGTCATTTCAGGTAAATGTTCACTATTTCAGAACTAACTCGGCATGCGGCCGTTTACCTGTTTAGCATAATAACACCAAAAACGACGTCAAGCAAAGTGAATAAAATACTTTTTTCTTTTGAGCTAAATAATGAGGATGTGTGGATATTCGCTGAAAGTAGTTGGCTAATGAGCCTCTTGCTGCCTTGGCGGGGCGGCAGGGGGACGCGGCGAACCTTTGGATAAATTCATCCTCTCTCATGATGTGCCGGGCGGCGATAATGGTGTCAATCTGCAAAGGTTACACTGCGCCATCAGGAAATAGAAAACTCTCTTAATACAGGCTTTTATTTTCTTAAGAATCTTTTATACTACAATGTAAACATTGTTTTTTAAAAGCAAAAAAAAAAAATTATCTTTGACAAGAGTTTTGAAAATATCAACTCTTGTTCTGTTTTGCTAATTGATGCTCATAGAATTCACAGATGCATATGGAGGATACTTATCCTCATTATTAGGTCTTTTATTTTGTGAACCAGGAGCTCTGGAAGCCTTTAAAAAACAGCAATATACCAATTTAATCAGTAATCAATCAGCAGAATATATATTATATCCAAGCAGTGAAAGTAGAGATGAAGGATCCTTTAAAATGAGTGTCTTCATCCTGCAGCTCCATAGCTGGAAGCGCCACCTCCTCTAATGTCAGACTGAACATCATCACAGCTTCCTTCACCTGGTTTGGTGAGGAACTCCTGTTCATTTGGAGCTGCTCTTTAGGGACTGAACAACCATGGCAACTTCATAAAAACCTTTCAGCCATGGGGCAGCCACTCTTAGAAACGGAATCATTTTGCTTATAAGGCGCACAAATGGGTCTTTAATTAAGACAAACAATAAACAAGAGAAAGGACATCATGTTTATCATATTATCACTGATACTGCTTCAGTTTAAGGGTTTGAAACGTTTCTGACTGTAAATATGTTTTAAATCTGTCCTGACATTTCCCAGGTCTCTGGTCTACTTCAAACTGTAGTGAAAGAGGCTTGGAAAAGAGGGCTGAGGGTGGTGTGAGGCTTGTCCAGCACATCAATCAGGCCTAGCGGTTTGTCTCTGTTCCTACGCTTAGCTTGGCCCTGGGGCTCGGCTGGGCGTGGTCCACAGAGAGGGGCTCTGCAGGACCTCAGCTAATGACAGGGCCCACTGTACTCAGCATAAATCACTGTGTCCCATAAACACCACCTACACACTCTAGAAATCTACACATTTACCTGTAGTCTTACATTGAGAGTCTTATTGATTATATCCACCTGTTTGGGCATGTAGACCCAAACATGATGCAGACACAGGAGAACAGACCAACAGTTGAACCTGGAAAGTGCTCGTAGTCTACCTGACCAACAGGCTGCCTACATGATGGAGTGTCTTCCCTTCCTCCAGCTCATCATCAAGGAAACTCGTTGCCTTTATTCTAGAAAATTCTGACCTTTAAACTAGTTTAATCCTGTCTCCCTTACTAAGATATAAACAGTGTGAACTAGGACTGCTTGATTATGGACAATAATAGGGGAGTGATACTCTTGGGTTTGCATGAGCAAACTGACCTACGTTTAGATGCCTAACATTGCTTACTGGTTCTGATCTTTCCTGTGCTTCAGCATTAACCTCTAACAATGTATGTATTTATTTTTCCTACTGTGTTCGATTGACGTAAGCACATGCCTTCTTGACATTTTAATTGAACGGTGCCAAAAGTTTTGGGAAACGTCGCCAAATAACACGGTGCTGTTATTCCGCAACAGCCCTCTAAATTCCAACAGATCATCCCGGGGGATTGGATTTAAAAATTGTGTTTTGAATCTGACAGTTGATGAGAAAATGTAAAAGTTCTGCTCAAACTAGGATTTTCTCTTGAATATATGAGTTGGAGTCCAGCGAAAGCAGGCAGTTAGTAAGAAAAACCTCTTTATAAAGGTGTACCTTTAATGAATCCCTTTCAACAAACATGACTCAATGTCAAATTTCAGCCTCCTCAGCGATTCCCGACCCTCATTGGAAAGACGTTGACTGAGCTTTGCTTAAAGCAACAGTAGCTTAGTAGCTAAGCTAGAGTTACCATCGGCCTGTGTTTGTTTTAGGTAATATCCACAAGTCCCAGCAAACCTCATCTGCACCACCAACAAGAACATTTTTCAGGAGAAAAATATTCCCCCTGCTCCAGCTGAGGATGTTCTATGCTAGCACCACTCAATAAACCACATTTATTTTCTTTATTTTTTTTACCTGGTTTCGTTTTTTTTGTGTCAGATAACTTATTTCTCTAAAAGCCCTTTTTGTATGATTGTAGAAAGAATAAGTTTTGACTCTCTCTAGACGAGAGGAACATGATGTCATTACATCCAGTGTCTGGATTCTTCCATCACATGAAGCCTTTTCATTTACTGCATCATGTCCAGTTCTGATAAATCTCCAGTGATTATGCTAATGAAGTGTAGCGCCGGTCATTTGTCTCTTTCGTCCTCTTTAGAGAGCTGTGCTGTAAACAATGGCGGCTGTGACCGGACCTGTAAGGACACCGCCACCGGGGTACGCTGCAGCTGTCCTGTGGGGTTCACTCTGCAGCCTGATGGCAAAACCTGCAAAGGTAGGTAGATATATGTGTTCTAGAGCCAAACCCTGGCCCCGTACACGTCTATCCTCCACCTGTCTGGCTCCAGTTTACAGCCGTCAGAGCTGATGGTGCTTGATGCTTTTCCTTTGGAGAATTTTTCTGTATCAGCCCGACAGAAAACCACCCAAATAAACGAATGCCTGACCTCAGAGGAGGACGACAAGGCAAAGGTGAAAAGGCTCAGTCCCAAGTCTTTGCTATATCTATCTCTATCATAGATGTGCAGCCTATGGCAAAGTTTAGCTCATGCTAACATGTAGTTTATAGCATCAGATGGCTAATGCTACATTTGAGCACATTTTAAATAAATCCTCTATTTATTATAGACTTTAACACTTAGTTAAAACAACTCTTTGCTAAATTTGAGCCAAATAATTCAGTTTTTTTTCAGAGTCAAGGTCAATGGAGTTTTAAACAACAGTTAAAAGATGCCAATGATTGAAAATCTGAATTTTCCTTAATTGTTAATAGTGGTGATAATTGTGATCTTTCTTTTGACACTTTTGCATCAATTGAAGTTTATTTCTAAGGCTGAACAGACGAACAGCTAACAGCATTCATTCATTCATTTATTGCTGCCTCTGCTTCCTGCTCTTCTCCACCACGTGTTTCAGACCTGGTCTGAGAGCCACTGGGCGTCACCATGGCGACTGGAGATGTTGGTCATGTGACGGGAGCGCTGCTATTTGCCTATGAAAACATAGATTCCTTATGGGATGTGTGGCGTTCAGCGTTTACTGAGACGGAGGGAGAGAGATGTGTTTGCAGAATGAGTGTCAGGCAGTCAGAGAATGTGGCGTGTAGGTGTGTGGAAGCGCTGCCAGGCAGACGGCGAGTAAACGGCAAACTTTCAGATGTTTGAGCACAGAGGCCACTGCTGATCCCCCCGACCAACATGGCCGCAGTCATATAAACAGCGCCATCCAGCTGCCAATGCTGGGAACGCATTTCTCCAGCTGAGCCAAACATTTCAGCATAAACACAACGGCTGTGTTTTGCAGAAGTTTCCAGATTTTATGGTGAAGATTTAATTTGGTGCCAACAGCTTAGCTGGAATTAGCATTTTATAATTAGACTCAAACTGGGTCCTAAATGGTGAAGCTTTGTAAATCCAGTGAAAGACAGCAGCCATTTTCAAAGGACGGCAAAACAATTTAGCTTTTAGAAGTTTTTTCTGGTTCATCATTAAAAAGGAAAGCTTAGAAGTAAAGTCCAGGTTGGTTTGACAGGATTGGAGAGTCCAGCAGATCCCACCCGTGCAGAGCTTGCTGACAGCAGGTGGCTTTGACCTAATCTGTAAGGCTTGTTTATTCTCAGAAACCCGGTCGTCTGCGTGTCTCAGTGAACGCAGATATGCCCCGCCCCGTTCCACAGACACTCTGCTGCACCTCTCCAAAATTGTAGGTGACCTCAGACACTGCCGCAGACAGGAGGCCTCTGATTGGTCAATTCTCCATCCGCTCTACACTAAGCGTATCTCCTGTTTGGTTCCTTACTGCCTT